CAGAAGAAATATAGCTGGATTGCCACAGTAAATACTATCAAATGGCACAATGGAACATGAAGGAACAGAAAGGTATTTTTTTTATCTGGTCTAACTAACATAGGAAGAGCAGCATACAGAAAGGTTTTACCCATCAGTTCAGCTTTTTACACAAGAACTCCAATATAGAATACATAAATTTCCCAAAAATTTTATGACATTCGACAGATGAATTATATATTCACATTTAATATATTTTCCACATAGAATAACAGAAAACAGATAATTCATCACAATCATTAAATGGGGCGTGTGTAATTGGTACCTGTTCCATGAATTGATCTTACGGCACCAAAATTGGCTTTGAATAATCCAGGTCTTAACCAATCCCTCCTTTCACTGCCCCCTATAACTCATACAGTAGCAAAAAAATCAAATTCAAAACAGTAAAGAAATAAGCTTTATGCATCCGCGGCTATAATTCATTCAAATAACACAACAAAAGGTCAAATTTACACATACCATTATTAGAATTTAAATAAAACAAGCCCCTTGTTTGATTGTACACTGCTGTATTATATCCCCTACAACCTCCCTTTAATAAAGATCCAGAAGAAAAGGTGCAGCGAGCAATCCGGTGAGCAATACGAAGAGCATTAGAGCTGACCATTTCAGTACACTGGATTGTTAAACCCTAGTTACTGAATGGAATAAAAAATGGGTTTTTTATTTTAATATGAACAGAAACACCCACAAAGGTAGAGTCTTTTTTCAAGCTTGCAGTGGAACCTTCTAGTTATGAGTTAATGGCGGAAGAAGTAGCAGAGGCTTACTCTAGGGAAAATTTTGTGGAAGCCCTTTCACTTAACTTTTTTGGGGTCTAATTAGGTATTAAGCTGAAATGGAGGGGCCTTTTCGACAAAATCTATAGACCTTGTCTAAAGTAAATCTAGGGCAAACCCAAATGTTGAGGAAAAAATATTGAACTTTGCTTTTTCTCCAAGAAAGGAGGATCGTTAAACATAATTCCCAAATATTTTTCTACCTCTTAATTTTTTGAGGAAGAGGCCGATAAAAAGATTTGGTTCAGAAGTGGATTATTATTGAATTATGGTTTCTCCCCGTCTTCCCATTTTAAGGAGTAACACAATAGTATGCTAATGACGGGTTCAATTGAACCCATAATTTTCAACGCGAAATAAAAATTTAAATTTTGATAGAGAGGTAAAAAGGGCATGGTGGGTCAAATGGCCCTTTACAGGACACTGCCCTTGGGATCTTGATTGCGATTGTCAAGACTGTTTGGAAGATCCAATTGGAGAATATGATGAACACCATCAGCGTCATTAGGAAAGGTTCGGCCTCAACAAAACCAAACCAAAATCCAAGAAAAAAGGGGAAGATCACTGAAAAACAATTTCGAGCCAAATACGAAAATAAAGATCCTTCAATTGGCTCATGAAGCCGTCCAGGTAAATATGAATTACTTGTCAGTTACAAACCCCAGGAATGGCCAAAATTACCAGAAAAATTTACTCCAAGTTGGGAGGATAGTGACACCACACCCAAACCCAAATTACCATCAACTCATGCCCCAAAATCCAAAAAGCAACATGAACCTGAAAGTTCACCAACTCAAAAAACCACAAATCCCACACAAACACAGATGTTCATGCTAAGTCCTTCACTCCAACCTTTTGAAAAGGAGGGTATAAGCCATGCTTCAAAAATTCCCAAGAAAAACATAGTGCTACCTACTGGAGAAAACCCCCCAACAAGTAACATCGAAGCAACAATGAACTGGCAATCAGAAAACTCCATCTGCAAAAACAAGGTATTGAACAACATTGGCAACACCATAAAGGACGTGGCCCATACACAAAACAAAATGATGAGCAAAGTGGAAACAATTGAGAAAAATATGGAGCAAACATCGTCTCACCATGCCGGACTAATCAAAGCCTTGGAACTGAGGTTGGTAAATTTACAATACGAGATTTGTCCTCCTGGAACTTCACTTTTCCAATTTTTCCAACAACAACAAAAGGAGACGATTTCCATTAGAGAATAAATTCAACTTTTGAGAAATTACCACTTTGAGCCACAAAAGACCCCAGTTTTCCCCTCAAAAACTACCTTCTTCCCTATGTCTCCACAAGCATATTCCCCACCTAAATTAGACTACACCTTTTCTACTTTTCCATCTACCTCACAAAATCCAATCACTTTACCCAACCCTTAAAAGAAGAACATGATTTTGATATTGCAAAAATGGTTTGGGAAAGGAAGGACGCTCTTGCAGCGCAAAAACAAACAAAGAAAAGGCGAGACTAAGGAGAAAGTTCAAAAGAATCGAACCCTGAAAATCTGATGATTTCTGACTAGAAGGCTCCAGACCTCTATTTCTCCTAGCCAAGATACATATTAGAAAAAGATACTTCATGGTCGGAATCTCTAAATTCATCAGACGATGAAACAACGGAAGATAGCTCTCAAACCTGCAATGATCCACAACAAACTCTTCCGAAGACGACAATCCCCCAATAATTGTAAATCAGCCAAGAGACCCAGAAGCATCTGAAGTAGATGAGGAACAAGAAGGTATGATAGATGAACCAATCCCAGAAAGAAGATATGAGCCCATGGCATCAAAACCAGTTGGAACTGGCTTCCACACTTTCACCTTAGATGATGTCAAGGTTTCAAGATGGCCTCAAAGGATCCAAGGCTTCTATACTTGGATGGTGACCAAAAATTTGGTGGAACAAGAAAAGTATATCATCCTGTCAGAACTCACTTCACGGTTCTTAGGACTTCTCAGAGATTGGTGGAACTCACTTGGAATTCAAGACAAAAATACTTTTCTTACTTCCCAAGATTTTGCCTTCAACATCAGAATCCTACATGAAGTTTTCTGCGGAGATACTGGCCAAAAACAGGAGAAAATATGAAGACAACTATTCGAGATGAAGTGTGTATCATTCGACAGAAATGACATTGACAGGAATTTTCAAAAAATGGCAAAGATATACTTCGAGATCAGTGGAGACATCAATCTAAAGCAAGCCTTTGTCTCTTCCCTTCCAAAGTTGTTGGCAAGCCAAACCCTGACCATCATTGAAGAAAAGCTTCAGTCTATAACAATCCCTTAAATTGGTTATATCAAGCAAGCTATTTTCGTCGCATTAGATGATATTTGTACGAAGCGCTCTGCCCTAAAATAAATTATCTAACACAATCCAGCACTTGACAAAGCATGCCGCAAATCTGACCTAATCACCGGGTCAGGATGTTCCTGCCACACATCTAGGCGACGAAGAGAATTTCGGAGGTTCAATGGCCAAGAATTCTAGACAGAAAACAAGGTCCAAGAGATGCACAAAATATTTCAGACGTAGAAGGCCAAGAAATTTTCAGAAGAAAAACAAATGTTCTATTTGCCACAAGATTGGACATTTCGCTAAAAACTGTCCCCAATCGAGAAGATTTGTCAAACTCCTTAAAGAGATTAAAGATTACACTGGCATACATCTCGAAAAAGAGGAGGACCTTGAATCCATATTCTCTGTGGATGATGAACCTAATGAAGAAACTTTATTCTCTCTTGATGTCTATGAAGATCAAGGCAATGATCACTACCAAATTTAAGAACCAGTGATTGATTCCAGAGAGGAGATCAACGCTCTCGTAGTCGTTCCTCAAGTAGAACTCAAGGTCTATTCATCCAAATGGGATAAACCAACTCGAGTTATTGCTTTCATCGGCATCGGAGCAACTTCCTCACTCATAAATCCTTGTTGTTCTCCCTGAAGATCAATGGGTGCCGCACTTTAAGTATTTTAACACTGCATCAAATGGAATCCTGACTACCACTGTCATCACAAAACATCTAGTCATAATTGAGTTCTTTCCAGGATTGAAGTACAGAAGCAAGCTAATAGGGTCTGATGTACCAGGAAAAGATCTTATTGTTGGATTCGACATTTACAGACAACTTTAGGATCAACATCAGATCAAGGCTAATGGGATAGCTTTTGAAAAGCATTTCAAACTTTATTTTGAGATTCAAAGGATTTTCCAAATCACCAATGACGAACAAATCAAAGAGATTGAGCAAAATCTCATTGAACATTCATGTGTTGCATTCCACAAGGATTTTATGAAGAAAGGGAAAAGCTCGTTATGGAAAAACCAAGAGTTTTTTATCAAGCTCCCTTTCAAGAAAAATGAAAACATCAATCCGACAAAGGCCAGTCATTCAGGCATGAATCCAAATCATCTTTAGCTTGCAAAGAAAGATTGCGAAGAACTTTTGGAATTTGATCTGATAGAGCCGTCAGATTCACAATGGGCATGCGAAGCATTTTATGTCAACAAAAGAGCTGAGCAGACAAAAGAAAAACTCAGGTTAGTTATTAATTACCATCCACTTAACCATTTCCTCCAAGATGATAAATTCCTCATCCCAAATAAACTCACTCTTTTCTCCCACTTAGCCAAGGCCAAATATTTTTCCAAGTTTGATTTAAAATTTGGATTTTGGCAATTGGGAATCCACCCTGAAGAACGACCCAAAACGGGATTTTGCTTACCCGATCATCACTTCCAATGGAAAGTCATGCCCTTCGGGTTGAAAACTGCACCCTCCTTGTTCCAAAAAGCCATGATAAAAATTTTCCAACCCATCCTATATACCTCCTTAGTTTACATTGATGACATCCTGTTATTTAGTGATATATTGGAAGAACATGTAAATTTATTTCGTCAATTTGAGGCATTGGTAACACAATACGGGATCATGCTTTCAGCAAAAAAGATGGCTCTTGCTTGAAAGGTGATCGATTTTCTCGAAATGCATTTTGTCCAAGGTGAATACAGTCTAGGACCACATATATGTCAGGAATTACTCAAATTTTTTGATACCAACCTCACAACAAAGCAGATCCAACAGTTCTTGGGTGTAATAAATTATGTAAGAGATCATCCCAAATATATCTACATTCATTTCACTGCTCACAAAAATGCTCAAGAAAAATGCTCCATCATGGGGAGAGAAACAGGATGAAGAAGTCAGAAAAATAAAGGAGATATCTAAAAATGTCAAGTCTCTCTACATCCCTTCAGATGGAAAGAAGATACTGCAAACTATTGCTAGCAATGAATATCGGAGTGCTGTTCTATTTGAAGAAAAAGATGGCCATAGGAAATTATGCGGATACGCCAGTGGAAAGTTCAAAGATTCCGAGCAACTTTATCACTCCACTTTCAAGGAAATTCTTGCAGTAAATAATGGAATCAAGAAATTTAATTTCTTCCTTATTCATACAGAATTTCTAATATAGATGAATATGAAGGCCATCCCAAAGATGTTCCAGATAAATGCAAACATTATTTCCAATCCTCAGCTTCTCAGATGGGCTCAATGGTTCTCTCCATACAAATTTCAAGTCAATCACCTGAAAGGAAAGGATAATATTCTCGCGGATTTTCTATCTCGACTAGAAGAATTCTCAAAAAGATTTTTCCCAGCAAAACTGAAGTCACAACAATAGATAATTAGCTACATCTTCATGCTTTCAAATATACTAGGAACAAGTTCATTAAAGTCAACAGATCATCCATCGGAGTGGTTCAACCTCATGGATCCCTTTGATCCGTCAATTATTATGGATAAAAGAACTTATTATGAGCTCCAAGTTTTCCGGCAATATGGAGGATCCATTCTCAATCCATATGGGGTCAATCCAGAATATCCGTTCTGCCATATATTCATAACTCAAGCCAAGGATTTTCCACAAGAACTATTATGGTTTTTCTAGTACCTATGCCATAAGTATCATATTTTTATGGAATTCAAATGCAACATCTTCAAGGATTTAGATAACATTGCACCAACCCTTAAAGTATTTTTACTATGGTTCAAACCAAGAAGATATTGGATAAAATGCTTCAATGATTCCTACACAGCAAAGGTATTCATGTTCCACAGGCCAGTGAAGATTATTAATGGAAAAGTCCAGGCGCAAGCAGAGGCATCATTCTGGTGGAAATTTCCCGTGTACATTTGATCAATGGAGGAAGAATATAGCGAGGCACAAAGAATCATTTTCTAGCAAAATAGGTGCATCCCGAGAGAGATATAGCAAAAAGATTGGGCAAACTGGAATTATACCAACACTCATCCTCATTGGGAAAGAGTCCGGGAAGCAACAGAAGAGTATCAAACCCCATACGAAGTCATCCGAGAAAATATCACTCACGACATTTCCAGATTAAAGTTGTGGATTACATCTCTCAATCCAAAGGAGAAAGAACACAACAAAGAAGGACCGTCAAGTTGCAGGCATTACTACACAAGGTCTTTGAAAAGATGCCTAGAAGACAACCCTAGAATCAATGAAGGATAATTATATAAATCCCTAATAATCCCACCATAATCCTACATTACCCACCAAAAAACCCTTCAAAATATTCTACCCATGCCTAGACAAATTTCCACATCTTTCCATACTATCCGCGCCCCATTTCTACTTGTTTTCACATGCTTCGTCATATGCTCTCTCATACTTTTACATACTACACCATGTATATTTTGCCCCTTTCACATGTTTTCAGGAGATTTTTAGTTGTTTTGCCTAAAGTCCTTCACATGCCAAGAAGGACCCATATGTAGATAAGTTTGCCATGTAAGATAGGTTTATTTTATCATGTAAGTTTGTCTTGTAATAACCCCCTAGTCCTATATAAATGAGGCCTTGTAGTAGTTGGAAAATCATCTTGTAACGTTTGTAAATCTTTTGTGATATATTACATATGAGTGCTTTCTAAATTTTCCTCTTGTTCTTTCTTTCAAATGGATGGAAAGGCCAGTTCATGTATGAAAATAGAGTAAGAATACTCTTTGAAAGTTAGCTTATTGTAGTACGAAAGTTTCTGAGTTATAAACAGCTAACGTTGGTTATAGTACAAAAGTTTTCTGAGTTGTGTAGCTTGGCAAACCGTCCCTTATGGGTTGTTGAAGCCAACCCCTTTGTAGGAAAACTTTTACCACTATAAATAAATTAACTATATGTGTAGCTTGGCAAGATGTCCCTTATGGGTAGTTGAAGCCAGCCCCTTTGAAGGTAAACTTTTGTATCTATAATTTAGTTTGCAAGATGTCGACTTTCTCTTCTAGATACAAGATACTTGGAGTACCAACATGCAAATTTGGGTACTACAGAAGTTAACCTGAATACTGGGACTGTCTTCATAACTAACTTTCCAAATTTCATCATGTCCCTTTATGATCCATACTTAACCGAAGCACTAAAAATCCAAGTCCAAATCCAAGGAGCCCCTCAAGCCAAAGATTCCATCCAAGCCACTCTTCATCACCAAATGGCATGGCGAGTCCAAAATCATGCAATGGATCTTTGCCTTCCCGAAGGATAAAATGCTTTACTCTTAAATATTGATGCTACCAAAGGAAACACCATGTGCACCCAAATACCTAGACAAATTTCCAGAGATGAACTTGTCAAAATTCTTCCTGATTTCTGGACCACAAATTATGAAAAGTTAAGAGAACCAGAGAAATCTCTGCAATCTGGTGAACCAACTTTTACCAAAAGAAATGACAAAACCGTCTGCATAAGCTTTGACCATTCCCATCTCAAAAAACCCAATAAAACCATCTTTTCTTGCCAAATGATTTAACCCAAAGATACAAAAGATGCATACCCTAAACCAGATGGAGAGTTCTTTTGAAATATACAAAGCATCATGGAAGAACATGACTGGTGTCAAAATTTTGACAGAGAAGGAAACAGGTCTTGGTGGTTCAAATGCCCCTTTACGGGACACTGCCCTTGGGATCTTGATTGCAACTGCAAAGACTGTCTGGAAGATCCAATTGGATAATATGATGAACACCACTAGCGTCATTGGGAAAGGTTTGGCCTAAAAAAAACAAACCAAAATCGAAGAAAAAGGAGAAGACCACTGGAAAACAATTTCGAGCAAAATATGAAAATAAATATCCTTCAATTGGCCCATTAAGTCGTCTATGTAAATATGAATTTCTTGTCAGTTACAAACCCCAAGAATGGCCAAAATTACCAGAAAAATTCACTCCAAGCTGGGAGGATAGTGCAACTACACCCAAACCCAAATCACCATCAGCTCATACCCTAGAATCCAAAAAGCCACATGAACCTGAAACTTCACCAACTCAAAAAACCACAAATCCCACACAACCACAGATATTCATGCTAAGTCCTTCAAGCTCCAGTCATACCCAAGATTTTCCTTCACTCCAACCTTTTGAAAAGGAGGGTAGAAACCATTCTCCAAAAATTCCCAAGAAAAACATAGTGCTACCTACTGGAGAAAAACCCCCAGCAAGTGACATCGAAGCAACAATGAACTCGGAATCAAAAAACTCCATCTGCCCAAACAAGGTATTGAACAACATTGGCAACACCATAAAGAACGTGGCCTATACACAAAACAAAATGATGAGCAAAGTGGAAACAATTGAGAAAAAGATGGAGCAAACATCGTCTCACCATGCCGGACTAATCAAAGCCTTGGAACTAAGGTTGACAAATTTACAATATGAGATTTGTCCTCTAGGAACTTCACTTTTCCAATTTTTCCAACAACAACAAAAGGAGACGATTTCCAATAGAGAACAAATTCAACTTTTGAGAAATGACCACTTTGAACCACAAAAGACCCCAATTTTCCCCTCAAAAACTACCTTTCCCCTATGTTTCCACAAGCATATTCCCCACCTAAATTAGACTGCACCTTTTCTACTTTTCCATCTACCTCACAAAATCCAATCACTTTACCCAACCCTTAAAAGAAGAACATGATTTTGATATTGCAAAAATGGTTTGGGAAAGGAAGGACGCTTTTGCGGTGCAAAAACAAACAAAGAAAAAGCGAGACCAAGGAGAAAGTTCAAAAGGATCGAACACCGAAAGTCTGTTGATTTTTGACCAAAAGGCTTCAGACCTCTATGTCTCCCAGCCAAGATACATATCAGAAGAAGATACTCCATGGTCGGAATCTTTGAATTCATCAGACGATGAAACAATGGAAGATAGCTCTCAATCAAGCAATGAATCCACAACAAACTCTTCCGATGATGAAAATCCCCCAATATTTGTAAATCAACCAAGAAACCCAGAAGTATCTGAAATAGATGAGGACCAAGAAGGCATGCCAAATGAAACAATCCCAGAAAGAATATATGAGCCCATGGCATCAAAACCAGTTGGAACTGGCTTCTACACTTTCACCTTAGATGATGTCAAGGTTTCAAGATGGCCTCAAAGGATCCAAGACTTCTATACTTGGATGGTGACCAAAAATGTGATGGAACGAGAAAAGTATATCATCCTGTCAGAACTCATTTCACGGTTCTCAGGAACTCTTAAAGATTGGTGGAACTCACTTGAAATTCAAGACAAAAATACTTTTCTTATTTCCCAAGATTTTGCCTTCAACATCAGAATCCTACATGAAGTTTTCTGCGGATATACTGGCCAAAGACAGGAGAAAATGCGAAGACAACTCTTCGAGATGAAGTGTGTATCACTCGACAAAAGTGACATTGACAGGCATTTCAAAAAATGGCGAAGATAAACTTCGAGATCGGTGGAGACATCAATCTAAAGCAAGCCTTTGTCTCTTCCCTTCCAAAGTTGTTGGCAAGATGAACCATGACCATCATTGAAGAAAAGTTTTAGTCTATAATAATCCCTCAAATTAGTTATATCAGGCAAGCTATTTTTGTCGCATTAGATGACATTTGTACGAAGTGCTCTGCCTTCTACGTCTGAATTATTTTGTGCATCTCTTGGACCTTGATTTCCCGTCTAATTCTTGGCCATTTGAACCTCCTAAATTCTCTTTGTAGGGCAGAGCGCTTCGTACAAATGTCATCTAATGCGACGAAAATAGCTTAGCTGATATAACCAATTTGAGGGATTGTTATAGACTGAAACTTTTCTTCAATGATGGTCATGGTTCATCTTGCCAATAACTTTGAAAGGGAAGAGACAAAGGCTTGCTATATATTAATGTCTCCACCGATCTCGAAGTATATCTTCACCATTTTTTTGAAAATGCCTGTCAATGTCATTTCTGTCGAATGATACACACTTCATCTCGAAGAGTTGTCATCGCATTTTCTCCTGTCTTTGGCCAGTATCTCCGCAGAAAACTTCATGTAGGATTCTGATGTTGAAGCAAAATCTTGGGAAGTAAGAAANGAAAACTTCATGTAGGATTCTGATGTTGAAGGCAAAATCTTGGGAAGTAAGAAAAGTATTTTTGTCTTGAATTCCAAGTGAGTTCCACCAATCTCTGAGAATTCCTGAGAACCGTGAAGTGAGTTCTGACAGGATGATATACTTTTCTCGTTCCACCAAATTTTTGGTCACCATCCAAGTATCAAAGTCTTGGATCCTTTGAGGCCATCTTGAAACCTTGACATCATCTAAGGTGAAAGTGTGTAAGCCAGTTCCAACTTGTTTTGACGCCATGTGGTCATATCTTC